CCTCTCATTCTTTTGAAGGATTCGTCCCCGAATCTAATTTGTCACTTTAGAGAGCAAATTTGTAGTCATGAGAAGTAAAAAATCTAGCTCTTTTTGGATCCCTTCTAAACCGTTGCACTTCAATGGATACATTATCAAGCTTGAAGCAATATTTCTTAAGAAACATCTTCGTTTTGTACTTCTGATATGGATAGTGGTATTCCTCCTCCTTATTGTCGTAATCTCTCTCTTGATTTCGCCTACTCTTTTTTCACTACTTTGTATAATACTCTCAAATTCTTCTTTCTCGCTTTCTTCTTCGAGTGTGTCAGTTTGCTCATTCTCTATCTCTAATTCATATTGAACAAGATGTATTTCTTTACTCTCATCGGCTCTCCTTTCTTCATCTGAAACATTACCATTTAAATCTTCCTCTTGTATCATTGGACGATCTACTTCTTCTTGGGGTGGTCGGTCGTCCAGTTGATGTTCTGGCTGGTGTGCTTGCTTGCTCGAGTCTTGGCACATAAATCTCCATTCTTGGATAGAATCTTTAAGTAATTTGCTTAGAGATTGGCGTAGTTCAACCAATTCTTCTCGTAGAGCTTCTCTAAGTCTTGTATCTATACTTCGATTTTCAACGCGTCTTCTTCTTTGTTGAGACATGGCTGCAAAAGAAACAAAGATGAAAGAAAAGTGGACCTCACAATTCACTTCCTCACATGCTTCACTCAATTAATGTGGTCCGCTCATGTTTACGCTCAAAATGATGCTCTCTCACAAGGATGCAATCTCTCTCAAGTATAGTGTGATGATCCAAGAGTTTGCAACCAAGAAGCTAAGGAAGCAAACAAGTAACAAGACAAGCAGGAATGATTGTAAAGTGTCAAACTCAAATAAGAAACAAGTATGTTTATGCAAGAATATGCACAACAATGTTTTTTCTGATCATAGCTCGAACCCGGTCTCCGGACCGACCTGAACACTTGGGCGGACTTGCACAAAAAGGTGAACACGCGCCTCTTACTGTTCAGATCGCGCCTTTCCTTAAGACTTTGAATTTGAATCTCCGTATAGTATTCAATGCATTGCACCAACTCTGGACTTTTAACATCACATCCTTAACTTGAAAACGTTAAAAGGCTAAAATCCTAAGTCCGTAGCTGTCCTTCATATCGCACTTCGTACCCTTAGGTTCAGAGGCTTGATCATTCTGAACTTTTCACATCGCCCCTTTACCTTGAAGGTTTGAATTTTAAGTTCATCAGTGGTTTTGGCATCGCACCTCGTACCCTTAGGTTTTGGAGGATTGAATTTTAACCGACTGCTGGAATTTGATCGTGTGGGAGTCTGTGGCCCCCATTTAATTTCTGGTCGAACTCGGAGTCGTGAAATTAAATCATCTCATCTATTCCAACCATAATCCTATTGAAAAAGTTTTTACAAGTCCATTGAGAACCATTTTGGCATTTCAAGGGTAATAACGCTTCAGGTGCTCCGCGTTCCATGGGTGCGCGAAGACGTCTCCTTTCAGATCGGCCAATATGTACGTCCCAGGTCGGACTATTCCCATGACTTCAAACGGCCCCTCCCAGTTCGGGTCAAGGGTACCCACATGGGTTTGGACCTTCCTTAAGACCAGATGTCCGACTTGGAAGGTTCGAGGTCGAACGCGGGCGTTGTAATGCCTGACATTTCTGCCTTGATATTCCGCCAGGCGTAGCTGGGCCATTTCTCTTCTTTCCTCCAATAAGTCGAGGTTGAGGAGCAGCTCTTCCCCATTTGCTGTGGGCTCGTAATCCTCTACTCTGTCAGATGGCATGCCGATCTCAACTGGGACGACAGCTTCGGAGCCGAAGGCTAGGGAGAACGGGGTCTCACCCGTCGACTCTCTTTGGGTGGTCCGGTAAGACCATAGAACCTCTGGTAGCTCTTCGGCTGACCTGTCTTTCTTGGAGTCCAGTCTAAGTTTCATGCCTCGCTTGATGATCTTATTGACTGCCTCCACCTGCCCATTTGCTTGCGGATGTGCAGGGGACGAGCTAAGGTGACTTATGCCAAGCTTGCT